CTCAGATAGATCGTGAAAAAAAAAAAAAAAAAAAAAGATGGAAGACATGAGGTGAAGGTCACCGAGGACCTAAACCAGCCAGACCAGCTGTGTCCTTGCAGCCCTCGCCTCAATGAATCCATCTTCTCACTACATGTGCTTCAGATCCATGTATGCCTTTGAATGAGCATATATTTTCATTTTTCTTGGGGAAATAGATAGGAATTGTATGGCTGGGATATATAGCAGGTGTATATTTAACTTTTTAAAAATATGCCAAATTGGCTCGGCACCTGTGGCTCAAGCAGCTAAGGTGCCAGCCACATACACCTGAGCTGGCGGGTTCGAATCCAGCCCGGGCACGCCAAACAACCATGATGGTTATTATGGGTTTTGGTGATTACTGTTGTTTAAGACAACCAAAAAATAGCCCCGTGTTGTGGTGGCCGCCTGTAGTCCCAGCTACTTGGGAGGCAGAGGCAGGAGAATCGCTTGAGCCCAGGAGTTGGATGTTGCTGTAAGCTGTGATGTCACAGCACTCTACCCAGGGCGACAGCTTGAGTCTCAAAAAAAAAAAAAGAGAGAGAGAGAGAGAGATTTTTCAGCTTTGAAGAATATGGACACTATGTACCAGATTAGGTGTACTACTGTTCACACTCCAGCACTTTAAAGAAAGTTCAGGAGTGACTAATGCACTAATTTATTTCCAGACGTCACAAAGGCTGTCATAATCGACAGTTTTCTTTTTAATCTTCTTACAGTTGAGAATATGGAAAACCTGGGAAAACCAGGAAACTTCCAAAGCAGGAAGGATGGACTATAGTATCATAAAGTGACTCTTCTGCTGGACCTGGGAGTTTTTACATGTTCAAACCATAGCCAAGTAAAGACGCAATGAAGGAATCTAAGTCTTCCATAAAATGGTCACACCTACCCTAACTGGAAAACAATAGATCATAACTTGAATTAAAGAGGTGCTGTTCTTCAAATAACGGGCTTGGGTTTCTTGAAAAGCTACACTCTACACACCCTACTCTGCTTTTTAGAACCTTCCCCACTTGGCGCCTTCCCCCAAACCCGCTCCCTAGTCTTCCCTAGTCCCCACCCTGAACGTCAGCCTCTGCACCTAGAGGCCAGTTGAGAGAGAAGACGGACAGGGGCGAGGGAGGCAGGCGAGAGAGTGAAATGGTCAATTCCTCCTTAACTCGGGGCCCCCTCGCGGGCCTCACCCCTCCTCCCCGGGGCTGAGATTGGAGAGGAAGTGGGAAGGCTCCAATCTGTTCCTCACTCCTGCGCCCTCATGCCCCCACCCTTTTCCTCAGCTCGGGGCTTCAGCGCGCCTCGTCCCCGCCCCTCTCCCCGGGAGAGGAGCGGGCGGCGCGGGAAGGCTCGCGGAGAAAGACCGGGAGGCGCCGGCAGCCTCCGCCCGACCGCCGCATCCTCTGCAGCAGCGGCCCGGAGCCGCCAGCCTGCAGCCGAGCCAGGCCCCAGGGCAGCCCCGGAGACCGCGGTGGCCGGATGCGCCGGCGCGTCACTTCCGGGCGGTGCAGCGGCGGCCGCTTGGAAGATGGCTGCGCCCTGTGGCTCGGAGCTGCCCGCCAACTCGCCGCTAAAAATCCCGAAGATGGAGGTGCTCTCGCCGGCTTCTCCTGGAGGCCTGAGCGACGGAAATCCTTCGTTGTCCGACCCTTCCACGCCTCGGGGTGCCTCCCCGCTCGGGCCAGGCAGTGCGACGGGCTCGGGGGCAGCGGCGTCCGGGGGTCTCGGGCTGGGGCTGGGGGGCCGCAGCGCCGCCTCGTCCTCGGTCTCCTTCTCCCCTGGTGGCGGCGGTGGCGGGGCTGCGGCAGCTGCCGCCGCCGCCTGCCGGGGCATGTCGTGGACGCCAGCCGAGACGAACGCGCTCATCGCAGTGTGGGGCAACGAGCGGCTGGTGGAGGTGCGGTACCAGCAGCTGGAGGGAGCCGGCACGGTGTTCGGCAGCAAGGCCCCCGGGCCAGCCATGTACGAGCGCGTGTCCCGGGCCCTGGCCGAGCTGGGCTACGAGCGGACCCCGTCTCAGTGCCGGGAGCGCATCAAGGTAACCGGCTGCCCGGCCTGGGGCAGCGCTCCAGAGGCAGAGAAAAAGCGGGGAAGCGGGCCTCGGGGGCGGGGGCCGGTCTGAGTGCAGGGCTCCCCTCCGGGGCCCGGTGGGCGACTCGCATCTCCTCCGCCTTTTTCTTCTCTCCCTGGGAAAGGGGCTTTTTTCCAGATGGCCGCCAGCCCGTAGGTTTCCTGAGTTTGAAGTTGGGCGTGTCTGCCGCCGCCCCTCTTTCTTGCCAATCGAGGATGTTCCTGCGCTCTGAAGTTGGTAGTTTCTTATTGTGCGCCGTCCCGCAGTCCCTGTGCCTCTGGCGCCTCTCGCCCCCACTGCCGGGGCCCTTCGCTTTGTTCCAGGCCGAGGGGCTCCCAGGCAGAGGCTTACCAGCCGGGGCAGAATCGTGCGTGGAAGGGCAGAAGCGGGGAGCGTTGCGCCCCCCTCAAGGTTAGGAATTTAAGAAGTGGCTGTGGCAAAGCCATATAAAAAAGCGCTGTGGGGCGACTGGCCTTTGTGTCAGTCGCTTTGCTTCTAACTTGAGCAACGAAGGACGAGTGATACTTGAGATGTTTTGGAAAACTGGAAAGGCTTGATTGTGGCCAGACTGTGTATTGTTATCGTGAAGTTAGCGGGCACCATGAAAGTTAGCTTGGCCAAGAGTTGGTCTGGAATTTGGATTGTTGATGTCTCCAGAGTTAGTTTGGCTTGAGGCCCTGCTGTTTCTGACGAAGCTCATTCATGAAAACCAGTTTTTCCCTGTTAGTTACTGTGCCGGATGTGGTGACAAGTAGAACTCTCGTGTGCATCTGGCCATCCTTGTGTATCTGCGTGTTTGAAGATAGAGGCTTTACTTGGGCTAGAAATCTTAACCACCAGCCAGGTTATCATTTTGCTGTTTCTGCTACCTTTTATCTAGTAGTCTTCATATTTGTATCATGGACAGAGCTGTGTTTTGGTTAAACTCCTTCCCTCCTCGTACTGTCTCCTAAGAGATGTAGGTAGGATTCTCCCAGTTTTCCCTGAACTGACTCGACTACTTAGTCATAGTGTCTTTGTACTTTTTCTGGTAGGGCTGGCATTTTTTTTCTGGGAACTCCCTAGTGGTAAAAACCACTAAGAGCAATCATAAGTAACAATAATGGTACTTAAAGAACAACCCTGAAACCCAGTGAGAACCATCAGGCTAAAGAGTAACCACACTAACAGAGTAATTGCGCCAAAGTTTATGAGGTCTTGGCTCCAGTAGTAGTGTTCATTTAAAAATACTGTTGCTAAGAAAATTTGGCCCCCAAACTAAGATGTTTCAAACCAACTATTGTTCAAGGAATTTGGCATCCGTTACCCAATTACGGAATTAAATTAGTTTATTTAATAACATATACCTTTGGGACTTTTTTTTTTTTTTTTTTTAAAACAACGACATAATTGAAGTAGTAGCTAATGGGAAAAAAGCTACTTTTCTTTGAATCTCATTTGGAGCAGTTCAAGGGTAGAGTTGGGATGATGGTCTGCAAGGAGAGGAGGCCAGTCCAGGGATCAAGAAGTTTTATTAGGAGGAAAAGAGCAGAAGGGAACCTGACCAGAAGTCAGCTTCCTGTCACACAGCTCCAAGAGGCTTTAATTAACCTTATTAGTGTGGTTGGAATGTGGGAGGGGGATGCTAGGGGAGGCATTCTCTTTTGCAAAGGACTGATCTTTGTACCAGGGGCTAATCTTGGAGTCACTCCCTTCTGCAGAGGGGCTGATGTCTCAGAAACAGGGGCTAAACTTTGGCGCCAGCCAGAGCTAGGGTGGAAAGTTACTGTTCTGTTGTTTCCTGGGAATACTGGTCTTGAAACATTCCAGGAGTGTGGGGAGTGTGTGTTGGGGGGTTTGCTGTGGTCATGCAGTTGGATTTCTGACCTGTTTCCTCTGACTTGCTGTCCTCCCCAAATGGCTGTACTTTTGTTAGGATTGTGACGATTCCCTCCCCACAATACATTGCCCTTTTCCAGTCATTAGGTTAAATTTTGGGGAGCGTGTTTGCACTGTCCTACTTTAGCCTCTATCCATGAACTTTTCTTGAATTTAGAAGTTACCTTAGCCATTTGTAATTTTTTTAGCTTTATTGATTTCTGTCCTTAGAAATTTCCCAATCACACAGAGAAAGTGTGCTATCAAAACCTCATTGAATATAAATCTCTCCATAAAATCATTTCCCTGAAAAAGCATTTCGGAGACCAGGGAATAACTAGTTGGATTGCTTCATTATCCATTTATGAGAGGGATACATAAAGCAAGGAACAAAGATTGCTTCTTTGAA